GCTAGGTTGGTGGCTAGTAGCTAGCAGGCGTAGGTGCAGACTGCAGATTCAAGCTTACTAAGTGCAAGCCAGGCCTGTGTAGACGTCGAAACCCGCATATGTTCCTCAAACCGAAGCCGGGGCAGGTCACACCTGATCAACCCCGCGAGCACATTGAGAACCCGTACTTCGTGACTTGCTTGAAAAGAAGAAGGATTTCTCAAGACTTGAGATCCAGCTGCTCAGGTGACTAGTTGATTCTGCGATTGTGGATTAGTATTTCTGGGCACGAAGCTTCGGGCAGTATGTTGCTTCACTGGCTTACTTTGCTGGGGCCATGCCCGCACTGGGTAGGACGAGCATAGGTTCCAGCTATCTACAGGGAGTGGAAAGTGCACAGCACATGAGTCATGCCATGAATCGCAGCATGTAGGCCCGCAGCGGATAAACCAAGCCTTCGCCTTCGGTGCTTGAGTGTAGCATCAAGACGCACACACACACACACACACACCATCACGGACAGGCAGGCTTCGTTCACATGATGCTTCTTGAAATGTCCACTAACGCACAGCTGCACGCACTTGTGTGTAGACCATATCGAGGCTGCACTTGCATAGGCGGCCCTTTTTGGTCATGGCCGTGTGGGACTGGGTCTAGAACAGCCATGGCAGTGGTGCCGAAGGGGCTTCGCACTTCCAATGGGGATGGTGCTTCCATGCGAATCAGCCGAGAGGACGCAATGGCCAAAGTTCCGCTCATGGAGTCAGATGTAGAGACGGCTGCCGAAGCTTCAGTGGAAACCAGCCACGAGCCAGTTGGACGAAGCGTAGCGCCTTTGCCCGGACAATGGCATCATCATTGTACTGACCCTTGCTGGATTCTTCTACTGATCGCGGCACTTGGTGTACTTTATTTCCCGATTCAACAGGCAATGCAGGCAGGCGACATGTCCAAGTACATGCGAGGCTTTGACTACATGGGTAGGATGTGCGGTCGAGACGAGTGCGCTCCCGGACAGATCTGTGGACGCTTCATCTACTTCTGTTCGAAGGTGGAGGAGAATGGCATCGACACTCTTCATCCGATTTGTGTTGACACCTGCCCCACGAGCAATATGACATCGCACGTTTGCTTTGATTCAGACACTCACAGCACCCTCCTGGTGCCTGATTGGCCCACGGAGGAGTTCAACATGAAATGCCTGCAGAGGTCCCACCGCTTGAAGGCAGAGGAGGAGCACGAGCGCAAGAGGCTGGCAGGGGATGTGACCCGCTTCAAGGCAGGTGCTGGGCACACCCCCGGAATATTGCTCGACTGCATCGCGTCTATTGCGAGGGCCCGGTTGCACCTTGTAGTCGTTATTTTTGTGTCGACTGCCGCCGGCTTCATGTACATGCTCTTCCTGTGGAGTTGCTTAAAATTTCTCATTTATGGCTCATTAGTGCTGGTGATACTGATCCCCTCCTCCTTCGGGCTTTGGCACCTCATTATAGTGTACAGAGGGGGAGGGGTCACTGCAGCTCTGAGTGGAGACTTACAAATTCAGCAGTCTTTGTGGATGGGCTTAGCAGGGGTGTCCATCGGCTTATTCCTTTGGTGCACCTTGAAGCAGATATTCAACAGGATCCAGACTGCGGAAGGCTGCATCATGGCTACCACCGAATGTCTTTTTGAGCTTCCCTTCGTGCTCCTGGAACCTGCTTTCAGCCTCTTGGCGAAGATAATGCTCGCGGTCCCCCTCTTCATGCTCATGCTTGAGTATGCTTCAACTGGGGAGATGCAGCTCATCGCAACCGAGCGTGGCATACACCGACACTTACAACTTCGCAAGGAGCAGTGGGGGATCATCCTTTACTTTGCCTTCTTGATCGCATGGACTCTGGAGCTGGTTCACAATATGACGCAGTACATCTTGGCCTATATAGCACAGAGGTGGTACTTTACGCCATATGTGGGTGAGCAGAAAGTGGATGTGCCGGGGCTGTGTGTGATTTTTGAATCCACCTGCAACCTGTTCCGTTACCATTTTGGATCCGTCGTGTTCGGCTCACTTCTGAAGACCCTCTTCCGAATTCCCAAAATGTTCGCCTACAGCATCTTTTTGCTTGGATGCTGCAAGTACTCGAAGCACAGGGAGGTCAAGGAATCCTCTGGATCAAAGTTCAGCGCATCTCTCATGTTCGCGTTGCTGCGCAAGGAAGGCTACATGGACATGGCAATCACTTCTTCAGACTACTGCGAGGCCACAGAGCATGCGACATTCACTTTGGATGATTCCTCCACAGAGTTGGTGTTGACATGGACGCAGATCATCTTCGAGCTCGGTGGCTGGGTTCTAATGACAGGTGTGGGAGCGCTCTACATGGCAGTGACTGTGCATAGCAACCCACGTTTTACAGATGCCACCGATGACGAAATGTTCCTGAAGGAGCCAGATGCTGTTGTGGCTTTGGCTGCTGTGCTCGGCTTGGCAGTTGGCGTCAGCTTCATGAATGTCTTTGATGTTATCGGCGACACGATCCTCTACTGCCTGGCTTTGGAGGAGCAGCGCTTCACGCAGCTGAAAAACGCCCACAACCCATACCATAAGGACGATGCCACTCTCATGGAGAGGTGGGGCTGAAAAGCAAGGTCTTGTCTCTAGTTTTTTGCGGTGAAGTGGGTGCTTTCACTCCCAGGTGTACTTGTCGAGACAGCTCTGGAGGTTTCCTGAGCTGGATAATGGGCTACGACGAGCATGAGCAGGACATTAGCGGTTGAGTTCAATGTCCGGGTGTGAGAACGCAAGCCTCAAGCAGTTCATTACGTCCGAATGACCACTAGTTTTTGTTCGGTTTTCTTATGAGTATAGTAGTACTAGTGTTCGTGTTACTGTTGCCGTTTGACCTTATGCTTTTCCTTGACCAGGAGGATGAGGACCATCCCCGAGTGCAGTATGCGCCACATTCTCTGAAAGAACTTGTGGACGCCAGGAACGCAAAGTACTAAAAACAGCTGAGGGCAGAAAGCTCTACCATATATATACATATACAAATTATATTGGCCACTGCTTTTCTTTCCGAAAGTTGAACTTCAAAGGAGGTCACACAGGAACGCGGGTTTTGCTTGCACGTGGGCGGTTGTCTGATCATTTGCGTAAACGACTGCGAGATCCCCCAGATGTACTAGTAATAGTAATGACAGTACTAATCACATGACCAGAAACGGTGCTATAGCAAAAGCAAGGGAGACCCTCATGTAATCGCGGGCTATCATTGGTCGGCTTCGCGAGTAGGCATGGACGGACAACCCTATAATTCCTTATTGGTGCAGGTTAATTCATGCCGCTGAGGCCACTCCTGCTTACCTAGTCTGGTAAGTGGATGTTGGCCCTTTTGGTGTGGTAGTTAATGAAGCACATCTCTTGGACTTTTGAATGTCAAGCTTTGATACAGAAGGTGTCTAGAGCTCTCTGTGGCACTAAGATGTCATGCACGATTCTTGGGACTGTAATGCTTTAGGTCCCGGTTGGTCAAAGCCTCACGTTCGCAAGAAGAACAAAAAGATGTCGTTGCAGGCTTGGGTTCGACGGGCATTGCTTCCTGCTTCCTGGGTCGTATCTGGGGGATGTTGCCGTTTTCCATGCATGTCCGAGAAGGCTTCCTAGTCATGTGCCAATGCCAGGATCGAAGCCTCGTACCTTAAATTACTATTATTACTATTATTATTATTATTATTATTATTATTATTATTATTACTATTATCACTATTACTATTATTACTATTATTGCTATTGAACCTCGTCACCCCTTGACCATTACTAGTCTTATGGCTGTTGCTTTGACTTGGACGATTGCAGCGAAGTGCCATGGCAAGCTGTCCTTTGTCGTTTATGTTGTTGATTGTTGTTCCGTAGCTGCTACGAGTAGTAGCAGTAGACCAGTTTGTCCTGTTGGATGGCTCATTGTTTGTTGTGTATCGTCTGTTCTACATGTTTTCGTCTGCCGTCAGCCAGCAAGGGTTAGTGATCAGATTGGCTGTTCCGTGTGCCCTGCCGACTCTCTCTGCGGGAATGCGCCCGACGTTTGACTCATCCGTAATTTTTGCAGCAGAATTTCCAACACCACAGTCCAAAATCATGAACCGCAAATCCGACTTGTGAGGCTTGGCTTGCAGCTTGCAGCCTTCAAGCATGCCTCGTCTTTCACAGAGACAGAAGCCGTGCCGCATGCCTCATCACCGACACGTTGAACCCCGCAACTTTGCGTGGCATGTCCGCGAGGGAGCTCTGACACAAACAAACCAAAATGCCACACGGTATGCAACGGTGCCTTTTTGTTCTTTGCCCCGCGTGCCCGAGGTCGCTCTCTTGGCAGGGACGTTGGCGGCCTCTCTGGCCGGGAGTTTCATGGTGCTTCGGCATAGCAGAGACGGTTGTTTCGAAGGGTTTCAAACACAATGAGTTGGATTGGGGACGTTGAGGGTTTCGAGGGTTCCCAGCATTGGGGCATCCGGCTCCTGAACTCGATGCGGAGCTTGAGCCACAAGGTGAAAGTTCGAAATGCGGCTTTGAACCCGTCAGATCGTCCAGTGGACCCGAAGTCGGGCACCCCCAGCGCCCCCCCCAAACCCGGGCCGAACAGGAATCTGCCAAGGTGATTTTCGAGCAGTGCTCCGATGCATTGCTCTACATCTTCCGCTGGAACAAGGCCTAAGAGAAGCTCTCTGTGGGTAAGACTTCGCGGCGCGTGATGGCATCCCAGCTTCCGCTTGAGTACTATATGCAAAAACTTGCCAAACCGGATCTTTCACCGGACCCTACCGTGACCTTTCAATCCCAAGGCCCTAGGAGCTAATCGGCTTTGCACGGTGAGCAGGCGCACGGTCACAACACGGTCGCCAAGTACTGCCCTGATGAGTTGGCGAAGCTCATGGAGTACAAGAAGCCTGGACGAGAAATTCAGAGCTGTTGCAGTCGCCAGCCCCCGAGGCACGACATACAGCGACGATCAAAGACGAAAGCACAAGCACCAATTGACGAGATGAATGTATGAAGGCCGAAGATTCAAGAATCTGTTGGAGGCTTTGAGCTTCTTTAGGGTGAGGTGACCGAACATGCAGTAATCAGCACTGTCCGATCCAGTAGTCTTGGGCTTGCTGCAAGCCATGCAGTAACAATGCAATAGAGAAAACATGACATGAACAAGCGTCTCGGTCCGTCACCTTGAAACCGGGGGTTCAATGCCCAAAGTCAGGATGCAGCAAAGGAGTGGAGGGCCCAAGCAAAATCAGGTCCATTGGCAACGTTGGAAGATCCCACCAGATCCAGCCTGTCAGAGAAGCCACAACTGCTCATTCCATGTCGGTAACCCAGGAAAGTCTCGGCGGGTGATGGAATGCGAAATCGACCGGAGCCTCCTGGTATCTTCTCGACGCTGCTGTCGAGCGCCTGAGGCCTCAGCTTTGGCTTCAAGTACAATACATGTCAATACTAGTCTTACGGGTCCTTGGTTCAGGGTATGCGGCAGTAGTAGGATCAGTAGGACGGCCAGAAGCACAGTGCTTTCGCAATGCAAGGGCTCGCCCTGAAGCCCTCCATGGTCTCGAGACTCGAGAGCGCAATGTTCGGCAGAAGTCAGGTGATGTTTCGGAGACCGCAGATCTAGGAACCCGGCTGTGTCTACTGTCTACTGCAGGGGTCCCGGGGTCTCCGACTGATTCGCAGTGCGCCCCTGAAAGTCCCTGCAAAGTCATACTCGAAGGGACCAGAGTTTAACTATTTTCGGATCCGCCCATGCGAGCTGTCCCGGGAGGCCTTGGAACTGTGTCAGGTCGTGATTTGATGAGTGAGGCATGTATTATACCGCCTTTTCTCTCACAGCCCGAAAAGCCAGACTGAGCATTCAGCATTTCCCGATCTTCAGTTTTCGGGCTTGCACCACGGACAGAGACTCTTGTGCAGCTGCTTTCAAGTAAGCATACCACAGAGAAAGGGAGGCCCGAGTCTCAGATTCTGCGTCTGTTTCGGACGCCCTCTTTTTGTCGGAGCCCAGCTCGGTAGCCGAACTACACGATGCCGTGGCTTGACGACTACGAAGCTCATGGATTCGAAAGAGATCCATAGGATGCGCATAGCATTGGCATGAGCCTGAAGGTTCCTGCCTGCACGTGCCAGGGCTGGTGTGCCGCGACGTAATGCTTTCCATCGTGACGACCCGTAACATTCACAATTCACGCTGGTATTCACGAAACTTGGGTCATGCCTAGCCCACCAAGCCACCAGCCTTGCCCTACCCCATCCCTCAAGAATAAGCCCTGAATGACCCTTAACCCTAAGCGCTTGCTCCTTCGGGCCGAAGTGCTCGACGCCAGCTTTGCGAAGCAAAAAAGGGCGCTCTTTGCCGAGCATATGAAGGCTCGGCTTACTAGCTCAGGTGTGGATGTATTGCTTGTGCGCAGGGATCTTCACTTTCGTCTTGCCCTGCTTCGCCGAGGTACGACTCGTCGGCCAATTTCTCCTCTCAGAAATATCCGTGCCCGCTGTCCGATGAGTCATTTGGCCGCAGTGGCACTCGATATTTCTCGGACCATTCGTCCGTGGAGGTCAAGTTCAGTATGTCTTCAGAGGATCCGGAGGCGGTGAATGTTTCGGCCAAGCCGTTGTTACTCACTAGGCTCCGCACGCAAAGCTCGGCTTCAAACCATAGGGTGATGTGACAACGAGCGCGGTTCGAAGCAGACACAGGAGGGAAAGCCTGTTGAGGCCCACTGAAACGAGGTATTCAACAGCTTCGCAAAGGCCGAACTTACCGCCATAACAGCCAGCATCAGTACACAATCGTTCACGCCCATTTCTTTCTACCTCGTTTAGAGACCTCAACAGGTGGTGCTTCTGGGCATCGGATGGTCGACAGATTACCTGTCCTCAGCCTGAGGAGGCGCCTTTGCTGGCACATCCACGGGTTCATGCTTAGAGCTTGTGTTTTGGGAAACTGAGTTTTGAGGGGTTTGTCAAAACTTTTGATAGATTCTGCCCAGCTCGCTGCCGTCATGGACGGTGCCATGTCGGAATATGTCGCAATGTAGCACTGCAGATTGGCGGAGCCAACAGGAATGAGACTGGGAGAGACTTCTGCTGATGCAAACGAAGCTCCGTGTCAGTAGCTTGAAATCACGCCCTCGGTACTAGGCTAGGTAGGAGGCTCAGGACATACATGATACACCGCCATGGGCTTGCAACACTTCGCATTGCTACTCAGGCGCAGTCGGCTGAGCATGGCGAGAAGAAGAGCCCCGCAAACTTCGAGAGATGTTTGCCGGAAGGTCAGAAGTTTCGACTGATGCAGAACAAGGTGCGCAACCAGCTCTCCTTGATTTTCAAAGCACCCCAACTTCGCCGGCTGGAAAGAGCCATCCGCTGCCGAAATCGCCTCGTTCTGCAGTCCTTGATGGAGGAGCTCTCCGGAGTCCCCGAGGGCTTGAAAGCTGCGGCACAGAAGCTCCTCTCTGGCTTCCGACCAGATCCCAGCGAGCTCCCAAAAGCTCCGGAGCTGAAAGCGCCCCCCCCCCAGCCCCCCAAAGCTCCGGCAGAGACCCCAGAAATCGGCTTGCCTTTGAAGGCAAGCCCACCACAGAAGGCAATGCCTCAGCCCAAGTTCAAGGCAAAGGGCCCCGCGCCAGTGAAGCCGAAGGCTCAGGACGGCACAGAGAGCCAGGTAAACGCTTTGTAGCTTCATAACTTGCAATTAGCCCGTCTACGGCCAAGAAAACACTGTCAGAGTCTCCAGGCTGCAGACCCCCAGCGGCAGTGTCATAACCTCTCCGTCTCCAGGAGTCTTCAACAGGAGGTGCAGATGCCTCTTTCTCTGTGGCTTCGCCGACAGAGCCTGTGGCCAAGGCCGCGGCAAGGGGGCCCCGGCGGACTGGGGCTTTGTTGGTGTAGTTGGGGAGGAAGCCCCCGGAACCCGGAACCCTGAACATCCCTGAGCCCTGAGCACTCTGTATGTAAAACTTCTGCGAGGATGAGAAGGTGTTTAAGCACCTTTCAGCTTTACTCCACTGCTCTCTTCGGTGAAGCTTGCAATGCGGGCAACGTCATAGCTAGGCCTGGGCGAGAGGCAAAACAGCCATTTATTTACCCGAAACATCCAGAAGAAACAAACCTGAGCAGGGATCAGGTCTTATCCTGTCAGCCTGCAGGTTCTTCAGCAGTCCACTGCAGACAGATGCAGACAGTCATGGCAGCACTGTTACTGTCATCGTCATGAGTCATTAGTATATGTATGATCATTATTTGTAGCATGACTATTATTGTTGCTATTATCATTACCAGTACGAGCCAGAGATTCGAGGCCCCTGCTGACCACGGCTCTTAATTATGGCGGTTGTCGGACTCAACTCCAGGGTTCGGAACAAACGGCGACCGCTCGAGGCTCTGTTTAGATGCATAGCTGGATGCAGAGGCAAGGGGTAACAAATTGACCGTATGTAGGTGCCAACCGCTGGAAGGAGAAGGTGACTTTATGTTTGTATGTGTAGATGTTACAACATATGTATGTGTGTGTATGTATGTACGTAGGCAGGTAGGTAGGTATGTATGTAAGTACATACACATATTGCATATAGATGCAAGCATCTTTTGTGTTTCGGATTCTTTTTGTTCTGGCCAGGCAGCCCCAGTTCTGGAGGACTTCGCTGCAAGTGCAGCGGCCACTGGGACCGACGAGGTCCCCAGGGCCTTGAATGAGTTCAGTTGATGTATTTTTTGTATAGTCTACATGTTTATATGTATATACATGTGTGTGTACACATGCACATACATATACATACATACATACATACCTACATACATGCGTACATGCATACACACGGACGTACATACATACATTCATTCATTCATGTGCATATGTACGTATGTACAAAGTATTTGTTTCATGATATGCATAGATATGTATGTATCTATCTATCTATATATATATATATATAACCGTAATAAGTATCCATTTGTATATTGTGTAAGGCGAGTTCAGGGACATTAAGTTGTTCGAAGTTCAAGGTTTGGGTGTAGGTTTTACGCACCCCGGTGCAGAGTCTGAGCCGTATAAGGGCGGGGCGTTCGTTGCTGGAGCAGGTCGAGGCTGAAGCCCATACCGACTGGGAAGATGCATGCATCTGTTTTGTAGAAGGGGGCGGCTTCGACACTCTGCCTTAGATTGAGTTTAGGGCAACGGAGCTTGATGCATCTTGAATCGAGGGCAGGCCGCTGCAAGAAGTTACGGTTGCATCACAGCAAGGCTTGTTCTCTGTTCTTGGGCCAGAACCTTCAGAATCTTCGTCATCTTAAGGAGTGTCAGGATGTTACTGTTGCAGGCAGTAGGGCAGTATGAAGAATAGGAATAGCAGCAGGTCTTCGGGTCACGGGGCCGGCCTCAGATCGCTTGACGGATCGTCCCGTGCCTTCAATCCGAAGCTGAAAGTCCTACAGGCCGCGCCTTGACTACAGAAGCTTAATTCGACACCATCAGCAAAAAAATACCTTCACAAATTAGGCAACAAATGTGTATGCACAGTATGCCTGAAGCAGCTGTGCCCCTGAAGCCTTGAAGAAGCCTCACAGCGGCCAGTCGTCAGTGCTTCGACCTTTGAGGCGGCACCGTGGAAGAAGCGAAAGCGGGGCGACCGTTCCGCACCTGGCTCTGCTCCAGGTGAGCTGCTCTGTTTTGTGGGCCACAAGCTTCAATTTTCTTGGGCTTGCACTAGGCCACCAGGTGCTGGTAATGAGGTGGGACTCAGGGCTTACAGTGCTGGGAATTCGGAGAATGGGCTTTCATCGACTGTTCAGTTCTTTGCGCGGAGCGTGGTGTTCCTTTCCTGCCGCGTGACATGGCGTTCCTTGCACAGCTTGGTGCTGGTGCGCTCATGTCCGTGGGAGGTCCAGCCGAGCCTGCAAGCGCTGAGGCTCGCCTGTCGGAGAGGGCAGGCACACATCGTCTAGTATACCGGTGATTCGCACAAGCCTTGCGGCTGTGTCGGAATTCACCCGGGCCAGAGCCCGAATCAATGCAGACATATCCGACAGACGGCTCTTGGCTTGTACAGTCCTGCAGTAAGCCTTGTCTCTCGCAGCACACGGGAGCCTCAGGCTTCGCCTTGACTCGTGTGGGCTGCTCTTCAGGTGCGGAGTGCGCCCAAGAGTGCCAAGGACCTCTCCAGGAAGGCTGCTTGGCTGGTTGTTTGTTCGATGAGAGTTCGTGCTTCGAGCTTCGCCTTTGGTGCTTTCCACATGGGCGGCTGCGGTGCATCACCACTGTTGCCTACTTTGCCACAGGCACTGCTGTAGGCTACATGCTATATACTGCTGTCGCAACTGCTAACTGCTGAATCTCCTACTCGTACTCATAAGCCCTGCCCTACTTGTAGCTACTTGCTTACTTACCGCTTAATTACTATTGTTGTTACTGTTATTGTTTATTACTACCACCAGCACCACTACTGCTACTGCTAGTGCCACTGCTACTACTACGGCTGTTGCTACTACTACTACTACTACTACCACTACTGCTACTACGTTGCCTTCTTCTACTACTCCTACTTCTACTACTACCACTACTACGACTACTCCCACTACCACTACCACCACTGCTACCACTACCGCCACCACCACTACTGTTATACTGTTACTATTATCACGACGACTACGACTACCACTACCACTGCTGTTGCCACTGCTGTTACGACGACGACTACGAAGGCTACCGCAGCCGCGGCGACGACTGACACCAGGGAATACCAGCAGCAGCAAGTGTAAGGCCTTCGAGAGTTCTCATATTGCATCGGCAACAGCTAGAAGCGAACCTCCAGAAAGTCAAATCCTGGGTTTTGAAGACTATCTGATTCTTCGGGTCACTGTTCCAGAGGGGTTTAGTCTTTGTTGTTCATTTCTTTGTTGTCTGCACTGCAAGCCGTTTAGGTGCTCCTGTCCAACGTGCCGCCCTCCGCCAGCAGCAAGGACATCGGGTTCTGGCTTCGGGCTTAAGCTTATATTTCTCTAGGAGGAAACAGGCCATGTCAGTGTTGACGATCATTTAGCTGGCTTCCGGTCTCGGTGGAACCTTGTCCTACACTGAGCTTGTATGTGCATCCAAGTAAACGACAGATGGCACGACCTGGGTGGCGTCGTGGGCAGTCAGAGTATTTTGGAGGTTTCGAGCGGCACAGAGCCACAGCCGAAACGATCGCAAACAACGGTGCCACAACGTCGCACTGGGAGAAATGTTTCGCAGTCTCTACGAGCTAAGTACAGTGCAGTCGGTAGGTCACAACGCAAGAGCAGCAACTGGCTCGCTCCGACTTGTCTTCCCTCCTCCGTTCGTGACGTAGCGGCAGAGGCGAACATGCAGAGCCACATGACATGGTAGCAATCGTAATGTTAATAAGCATATATATATATATATATATATATATAATATATAGATATGTATATGTATATATATATATATGTATATGTATATATACATACGTATACATATATATATATATACACACACACACATAGAGTTACACGCATCATAGAAGCAGAGATACGACAAAGATAACAATACTTTGGCAGGAGTTTGGACTGTAAAATGAAACTTCGACGTGAGGGGGGGCATGAGGGCATGCATGAGGAAATGTGCACTGCAGCACCTCCTCCTCTGAAAAAAGGTAGTAGTAAGGTAGTAATACTTTTTTCTCACGGCAGCGCGGACTTCTGGCACAGCTATGGGAGACTGTATAAGGCGGTTTCTGCTTGATGCTTATCCCACGATAGATTCTCGTGATTGTTACCGACACTGACTCTCTGGCCCCAGCTGCACAAAACTGGTTGTACAGAGACCAACCAATCACAGGCTGAAAGTTGCGTGCGCTGAGACCGGCCGTGGTTAGGCTTCTCGATCGTGTTTTGCGGAATCACAAGCGTACACTCTCGTAAGTGCTCTCTGAAGCAGTCGGTGGCTGAGGTGCTAAACGAGGTGCCGGAAGAATACCGGGTGACTCCACCAGTTTATGGTGCTTTGCCATGCAGCAGCGTCAGAAGTATGTTGTTTAGACTTAGACTTGATTAATATAGGTTCCTGCAGCACTTCGCAACCCTTTCACGTTAGTGATTGTGAATGTAGTCCATCGCAACAAGCACAACCGCCCAAGCCGTAACCGAGCTAGTATACAGGTCGGAATAACGACGAATAATCAATGGGACCTCCTTACAGTTCCCAATGTTTCTGATTGTTTATCGTATAACCTGCCCCCCTCGAACCCTATATTCTGAAGATCCAGGTCCCTAACTACATTTTGCCAAGATAGTGCGAATCCGCAGGAGCTCCTGGAATTCTTCCACGGTGCCGTGTGCTCCTCCACGGGACAGACGCTGCCGCCACATATCACGGCTGAAAAGCTACAGGCACGGGCTCAAGGCTTAGGGCCTTAGGGTTTAGGGTTTGGGCTCAACTTGGAGGCATTTCAGAGAGACCTCGTTCAAAAAGGGTTTGGGGTCAACAAGCCAGCGATTCCTGCTGATGGGTGTGAGGCTTTTAGGGCTGTTGAGGTTCTTCTTTTCATGGTTTTTGTTTCGGGATCGCTTCGGTACTCATGGGTTAACTAACGTTTATAGGGGTTCTGGGATATGTTCGCGAGGGCTGGAGTCTGCCTTCTTTACCTTCGACACGATCCGACCGAAGGCTTTTTGCAACGGCCATGCCAACATGCTACCAAAGGCCGCGAACGCAAACTTCGGAGGCTTCAAAAGGTGGGATGAAGGCAAGTCGGGTGAAGGATCCTTTAAATAAGGACTCTTATTTGGGAATATCCCACTTACCTTCATCCCACCTTGGGAGCCCAACTCGAACCCAGAGGACACGATGATTGTTTTTAGAGCATCTGGCCTGCTGTCAGGATAGCTGCCAGAATCGCAAAATAATCAGAAACCCGGTGACTCTAAGCCGCACTTTTACCACGAGAATTGAACAGCTCACGTTTTCACGTGCAGCAGTTTTCCAGAAACAGATGCACCTGTTTGCGGCAGATTCGCAGAAGAACTGCGCAACAACCGCCATGTAGTCACGCCGCCTCTCCGGATGCTTCTCCGCCCTCGCCTCCTGGCAAGTGCCGAACTGCTGAGGTGGTCGAAGCCGTGGAGATCCACCGGGGTGGACATGCCGAGGCACTCTGCTTGTCCAATCACTTTAGAACTTTGGGTTCGCGAGTCTTTGCAGGTGGCCATTGGTAGATGCTTCCAAGGCAGTCTGCGAAGGGTGACCCAACAACTTCGAAGTCCGGGCAGGTCACTTTCGCCACAGCGACGAGCGCATCAATCGCTACATTGCTAAATGGCATCCAGTTCCAGCTCCTCGGCTTACAATGTAAAGCCGTGTAGAGTCTGGAGCTCGGGCAGTCAATCGAAATTGCTTCAAGCATCCTCAAGCCAACGAGAGAAACACTTGCCTGAGACTTGAATGTCGCCAAACAGCGTATGGCGTTTGGCTCTTGTCTACCTCCTGCATGCTATGCGTGTCGATAGGAGGCGGTCCATTATCGAGCCGGCGCCTTTGATGGCTCCTTTTGGTGGTTGTTTGTCGATGCAGAACAAACCGCACTGCGCACCGCGATCGGGCGCATTTCGTCGCCTTCATCGAACCTAGACACAGCTGCCGCTGGTAGTCCTGGTAGTGCTACAGGGAACCCCAGCCTTAAAGTTCTAGAGTCGCGCGTTTTTTTCGGCCTCCATGCAAGGGATGCCGGACTGTCCATTCGGCGGCCGCCTGGCTGCTCGCTGCCTCCGGCCAACAAGTCGAAGCTGGGGAGCTGTACTCTGCAGGACGGTTTAGGAGTTTAGGGTTCAGGGTTTCGAATGCCTGGGAGAGAGAGAGAGAGAGAGAGAGAGAGAGAGAGAGAGAGAGAGAGGGTTCAGGGTTTGGGGTTTGCGGGCGAAGAGGCTCTTGAAACCCTGAGACCGTAGCTCAGGCAAGCTTTTCAAGGCAATCATTGCCCGCCGCGCCCCGCGAAAGATGCAAAGGCTGTTGCCTGACAAGCAGGACAAGTATTGGCAAAGACTTAACAAGATGAGTCACGTGCGCATTTCGCCTGCAAATTTCTCCTAGGTCCCACATATGTCTCTCCAGCAGAACACACCTGTGCGATCTCGTGGAAACCGATTTCAGCGAGTCAGCACAGGCCAGGGCAAAGCCCTGGAATGAGGGGAACACGCGCATTTCGGGATATTCACAAATAGGGTTCAGGGTTTAGGGGGTTTAGGGGTTCATGTTTTTTTGGTTTCCATAGAATTCTGGACCGAAACGGCACTGCACGGGGGATGGGGGTCTACCAGTGCTGCAGATCTGCCCGGATTTGGGTTTCCTTTCTTCAGGGGTACCCCGGCAGTCGCGATAGGCCTGGGTGCCAGAAGATATGGGTTCACCCCCGACCGCTAAGTTTCCCTCCGCCCAAAACTGAAGTCGCCGATGAGGTTCAAGGCAACCAGCCTTTCGAACCGAACAGCCTCGCCATAGGTGCGGCACTATATTACCACCCGTATAAGTTTCGCGGTGTGCCCCCACCCCCCCCCCCCCCCCCCCCCAGCCCCCCCGTGCCCCCGCCCCCGCTCCAGCCCTGCCGGCCCCCACCCCTCCCCTAAAGCCGGAAACTCCCCGAAGGACCTCGTCTCTGGCGAGCTCCCTCCGGAGCTTCTCGAGCCGGAGCCCGCAGAGCCCGCTGTGTCAGCGAAGGCTTCGAGTGGCTTCGGGTTCCGGGTGGGCGTTTTTGATGTTGGGCGAGGGGGGCTCGGATTCAAGGAACAGAGCTTCTGAATCGGATCTGTTGCCGTTTCCGGGTCTTGATACCACGGCGAGGTTTCACTGGTGTAGTGATTTGGACTGTTTCAATTCTCGTGACTTCTAGAAAATTTACACAGCGAGGAGGGGACACTCAGTACGAACAACACCCACCACCTACCTACCCAAATCCGGGTGACCTACTGCACACTGCCCCGGCGTAGATTTGAGGCGTTGCCTCTGCAGGCCAGCATCCAACAGCACAAACTGCGAAGAACCCCACCCACATCGAGGTGATGGGGGATGGAGCCACAGGGAAAGGGTATTCCCAAACCCAAACTATAGCATACTAGAATGTACTATAAGACTATAGAAATACCATGGCACACTACAATCAGTGAAGTCAGCGGTGCTGTAGCAGGCTCAGTCTCGGCCCGTCAGCGTCCAGCTCTCTGGCATACCAACCTCGATGAACAGCACGAGACTCGCTTTTTGAAGTGAGCCACACAGGGTTTAGGGTTTGGCGGTTTGGAGCGAGCTGCAATGATCTAACGACCTGATTTGGTTTGAGGACAGTTCTCCAAGCGAGTGGGCTTGATGCGGTCGTTGTACAGAATGAACCGCTCAGGAGCGTTTTCGACTTGCTCGCGCAGTTCCTTGTCTTAGCACTTAGCAGTCTCACGGTGTCAACTTGGGCGGGGTCACTTCGTGGTAGTCGACTTGGACTTGCAACAAGACTCTGGTCAGTCAAGACCCACTCGCAACACCGAAGCAGAATTTCCGAAAGCCAGCCCTTTGAGGTTTGGTGGTCCAGTCCAGAGCCTGCACTTGGCACATGACCCGTCGTGACCCGACGGCCGTTCTTGGGGCCGTCTGCGGCTTCGGGGCTTCGTTGGTTCTTTGAGGCTTTGACGGCTTGAGAGTTTTGCGGTATTAAAAGGATGTTGGAATTCAGGTGGCTGGAGGGCATGTGCACTGCAGCCCTTCCTCGAAGACGGGTTCAGGGTTTCGGATGAAGGTCGGCATTGGGGCCTTGTAGCTTTTGAACTTTTTAACTTGCGGCAGCAAGCTTTGGATTGGGCGGCCTGGTCATGGACGGGACCCCCAATCTTGCGCATCGATCCATCGATACATCCATCATTGTCGAACCGCGTTGCGGCAATTGGCATCGCTGGCTCCTGCACCTTTGTCGTGGCCGGTCGTGGCCGTCGTGGGATTGGCCAAACTCCAACGGACCAACGGACTCGGGCTTTTGGCACTGGCGGCGATTGTTGGAGGTTGAGGGGCCCCAAACCTGCTCTTATAATGTACTTGTAAGTCAAGTAGAATATATTCTAACCTCATGCCGTTGGCGGCGCGACAGAATTTCAAGTTCCTTTATTCCCAGATCTTTGAGCCGCAAACGGCAGTAGACCTTTCTTTTGCTGTAGTCCTCATCCTTGAATCCAAGAGGTGCTGCCGTGGATTCTAAAACCTAATGCTTTGAAACCATTCACTGCCACTCCTTTGTTGTTGGGCTGCTTACACATCTTATGCCCGCCTCCGGGATCGGTGTGCGCGTTGTATTTTGTCTGAAGCCGCCATTCTGAGGATCCTTGCCAGCCTTGTGCGAGCTGCGAGAGTCAAACAAGCCCTGAACCGTACACCGCATCACAATATGATCTGAGTATCTGAGTCCGATCTGAGGACGGGCCAGCACCCCGGAAACGGCACGGCCGTATTTGCAGACTACGAGTCGGCAGTCGAGGCGCGGGAAAGCTTTGGGATGAGTCCATCCAGGCTTTGCGTAAACCGGTGCAAAATGAGATGATGAGATGGGGATTTCCCGGATGCAGAACGAAGACGCAGAGCCAAGAGAGGTTTACATAGGCACAAGTAGCCAGGATCTTGCTGCCACGGTATGTGCCTTTCGGCGCCGACGTATTCCACCAGATGGAAAGAAGATCTGAGAATGATAACATGCGAACATGTGGCGAAGAAGCCGACGTAGAGGGCCTGTATCAACAAGAGATTTGCGAATGTGATTCATCCATCCTTCCGCATGCATGCGTGCATATAGGCATTCAGGCAAATGCAGGTGTTTTCTTGGCTTTGTAAACGTGTAGGTGCAACATTTGTTTCTGATACATACATACATATATACATCAAATTATCCCCACCTCCATGCCCCGTTCCTTTCAAAGGAAGCGGATGTGGATCATGGGGGGGGGGGGGGAGGGGTGGGTTGAGCATAGTATACCATGATTACCTGTACGTGTATATAACACTGTAAATATATGTGTGTGTACGTACAGAGCGATGTATGTATTTGTTTATACATGTGTATGTGTATTTATACACATATGTTCACATCTTAAAGCCAGCACATGAGATGCTGTGGACAAGTGTTTATGTGTTACCTTACATGTTAGGTTATGGTTATGCTATCTACTAGCTTATGGTATATACTTGTTCAGTTACACAGCAAGCACATTATGACCCTTGCGCACTTGTTCATATGAAGTTGTACGCTGCACTGCTGTGTACGCTATCGTGTATTACATATGTTGCTATTGTACGCAGACTGCTTTATAGCGTGCTCTGTCTACTATACACTGTTCCATGTTATGTCTAAAATGTACGGATGCGCGGATGGGTGTATGGATGTGCGATGATGTATTGTATGCAATGTTTGTAAGGGTATGTCTTTAGTTTTGCTAATATGTGATGTCTGCCACGTATGCAGAGTTTTTGCACTGCATGTATTGTATGCAATGCACGCAATGTAAAGTAATCATGTATGTATGTATGTACGTACTGCATGCACTATATGTACTGTATGTAGTGTGTGTAGTACAGGCAATGTACGTCAACCACATAGTGCCTGTAGTGTTCGTGTCTTGTATATACGGTGCATGTGTATTGCATGTAGTGTGTATGGCACATGTACATTATGAAAGGTGCATACGGTATGCATGGCAATTATGTAAGAACTTACGGATGCATGGACGTATGGATGAATATCTGTGCATGCATGCATGCATGTACGGACATGCGTAAGCATGTCCGAATTGTAGTAGTGTAGGTATAGTATACGTATAGCATGGTATAGTGCGCAGAGTATGCATACCTTTTCCCTAGTTGGGCTTCAGGCCTGCCGCTTCTCTCCGCTCCTGGGGTTCATTGAGGTGTCCATGCAGGATCCTGCAGCCGAGGGCCTTCTATCGGGGTTTAGTTAAACAAGGGCGCGTTGTCAATTTGCAGTGTGCAGGTTGACAGAGCATCACTGCTTGTGTGTTTCCTTGCCAGTTTTTGCAGGGCGCAGCATTCAGACGGATCAGATGTGGCATACAGTCCTACTGCACACCATCGGTGGGATACACCTGACGGGGAATGTTTGGAGATCTTCGTTTAACGATTCATCATCTTGGAAGCCCGAAGCACTCTCGTAGTAGCTTGGCTCAGAACGTATGTATGCAAAAGATTAATGTAACCCCGTCCAGCTCGTGGAAGCCTCATGAAACTGTCCAGAACCCTCCACTGCTTCGAATATTAACATCCGCATCCTTCGCGCCTCCTGGCTGTTGCAATCCTTTTCAAGCTTTCAATGATAGATAGTCTAGCAGCCAAAACAAACAACAGATGGATGGATTCTGAGGAGTGCAGAGGGCATGCAAAAAAACGATCCTCATGCGCTCGACAGGGTCAACTGTAGCTCTTGAGGGCCTGCAAGCTTCCCGTGCAGGTAGTCGACACAAAGTGGATCGAGGCGTATTATCTAGTACCTACGGCCGAAGGGTTCAAGAACTAGTAATGCAGTGTTGGTGGAGACGACCGTTGTGATGATACTAGCGATGCCGGAAGCACGACAGTGACCATGATGGTAAGACGTTCGACGACGAAAATGGTGTGATGCTTCTGCAGGGTTCTGGCGATGATGAAACTCGTTATGACATGCCTGATGCCATGATGGTGCAAGCAATGCTAGTGTCGTGAATAGTAAGACTGATCTGACCATAGATTGTACAATATGCACGAGGTACTACACTACACCTCTTTATTTAGCTTCAGAGGAGCCAGCAGAGCATGCCCAACCGAGTGACGGCGAGGTCAATGGGCATTGCTTCCGGTTGCGTGCAGGTTTCAGCATCTTTTCATGCATATACACATGTATCCAACACCTGTCATAATAAAAAGGAGCGGTATTTATGGGGCAGACGAACTCGTTTTCAGCCTCAACGGTTCGAGCGAGGGTGGCCAAGTTGTATGGAACTCAAACATGGGCTTCGAGAGCCCGCCGAAACCCCTACATTCCCAGTAGCATCTCACTCTTTGAGTTGTTCTGTTTACTGTTCTTTTCCTCGTCATCCTTGGGTTAAGGGTTCAGTGTCGGACTGGCTTCTGCTGACACAGTTCCCCAAGTGCAAGCCATTCACGGATGTATGAAGCACCTGCCCGTGAAGATGGGTCTCACTTCTGCCATATCCCTAGCACGCACGCGAGCTGCAGGGTCAAAGAGGTGTGGAAGTTCGACCCACGCTTGTCTGCTTTGGTTGGCCTTCTTATGCACCAGTTCTACGCACCAGTTGCAACAGCACAGTTCTCCCTGTTGGGGGATTTTGCGGGATTTACGTGCGCGGGTGCTTGTCCTTGTCTCCCGCTCTCTGTCTCTCTCACTCTCGGTGTCTCCTTGTCGCTCTGTCACTCTGTCACTCTCACTCTCTCTCTCTCTCTCTCTGTCTCTCTTTCTCTCTCGCTCTTGACTCTCGACGTCTGTCTACACACTTCGCATATTAAATAGAATGAATGTATGATCGTGTACATGAAGTTGTAATTAGAGAGGGAAAGGGAGGGAGATAGACGGAGAGGGAGAAACAGAGAAAGAGAGAGCCCCAACACAGTGACAGTCAGGTGCAACAAAATGGCTTGAAGAACCCTGACTTCATCACATGGTAGACATTACAACTTGTTGCCTATCAGGGGATTCATCCTATTTTCACACTCCTCCAAAGCCCCAACTTTCCTGTGTCAGGTAAGAAACTATGGGACAACAAGCACAACCCTGTGTAACGGTTCTCACAAAACCATGGAAGCTATTGTCTTGGGCTGCTGGAAGAGGAAAGCAAGTTCGCACAGAGGTGGGTCATCGCAGATCTCGTTGGTCAGAAGATGCAGCCGATGATGATCTGGGGCCCTTCAATGCCACTTCGTGTGCATTGATAGATTTGGTCGCGTGGCGATCGGCAGCGTGGCAAAGCCCAAACCCCTTGCCCATCTCCTTCTGCACTGCCCCCCTTTTGCCCCAGCATGACAATCCTGAGCTGCTTCTTCCCTTACACCGTGCATTCTGCCACGCTAACTTTCTAGAATCTCTTCAATCGACGCTTGATGATGCAACAGAGGCCATCCTGCCGCCAAAGCAGCCGGTCGAAGCCGCAGAGGACGATGACGACCTCGGACCCTTCAATGCCGTCCTCCCGAAGCGAGGGGCCCAGTTTCTCCCGGGTTAAGGCTTCAGAGGTGTGAGAAAGATCTCCTGTGAGGCGCACCGCGCCGCCGGCGGATGACGACCTTGACCTCGGCCGCTCCGGCATCAGGGTGGACAGTGGACAGTGACAGTCTCGAGAAGTCGTGTCAGAGTTATATGGGGCCGCAGGCCCCGCAGGCCTGGACAATGCCACGGGATAAGCATAAGCTCATCGCGATGGGGCAGTGGTGGTGTGGTAGGCTTCCTGCAAGCCCAGCGTAGTTCATGGTCGGCCTCCAGGCACTGGCGGCACTTGTAGGCCAGTGAAGATTTAAGATTGTAGGCATTTAAACGGCTTACACTGAAGGCCAGGGTTTGTACCGTTGTGGCCCAGGCCCCTTCAACGACATCCTGCCGCCCAAGGCGGCACCGGCACCGGAGGAGGACGAGGCCGTGAAGAGAAACTAGATGAACTTTTTGGACACCGCTGTCAACACAACGAGAGAACACAAGAGTAATGGTCGGTCCAGGACAGAACGGTGATGGAAGGTTGTTGTCTGGTGCTAAGAGCGATCACATAAGAAAGCCACCAGCGGTCCTTCGATTTTGGAATTTTGTGTGCACATGGTGTGACTCAGACTGTTCTTAGATTGGAACACTTGGGTAGAGGGATCTCCAGTGGGTCCGGCCCGAGCCTGCAGAGTCCCAGATCATGGGGCGCTTCGTTCGTTTCATGAGGGTGCAACTCTTGAAAGGCTATGCTTGGGTAAGTAGCCGTCGCACGAGTTTGCCGCCATTAAGTTCTTGAGCTTGGAGGTACGACCTGGGCATGATGAGCATACTTTGCATTCACTCTTTTCCATACTGACCCGAAAGCCGAAACCTCCTGAGTCACCGCCGCAAGACACCGTCCCGATTCTTGGAGGCAGATGACGATGATGATCTGGGCCCCTTCAACGCCATCCTCGGCCGGATGTGAGCTGCCAGCACGACCGCCCCAGAGCACAAAGCACACATGCTATGAGGAAAACCCCGTGCTGCGGAGGAGTGGAGCGGCGTTCAACCTGCAAGATTTCGGGTAGTAGCAGTAGCACTGACAGTGATGCTGCCGTCTTTCACCAAGAGACCGGAGGCGTTTGCTAACGAAGGATGGCATCACAGGTCGCTATAGACTTAAGTCTCGCGTTCTTTGGCCAGGCCACCGCCAGTTGGCTAGCCTCGTCCGAGTTCTTCTCAATGCCAACGCGGACCGGGCGGGGGGCGAAAAAGGGGCTCCTTGGCTTTGGACCCCGTTACTCGGAGGTTGCAGGACATCGCTCCTCACAAGTTGGGTACGTTTTTTGCAAACCACAGCGGAAATAGAACATTCCATGTTATCCTGGTCACTGTCTCAGAATCCTTCTGAGATCCTACGACTTGGTGCTTGTGATTTCTAGTCTTAAGCAGGTTCTGAAAAGGTTCAGTTGATTCGTGAGTACGTCACGTAGACTACTCGTTGTGTCAGGACAGGGTCAGGGAGCTCGGTCCGGAAATAAAACTATGCCAGTATAGATCCCGAAGCGATAGAGCATTTTTTACGAATGTCGCATCGCGGTGCAGGATGTTCAAGCGCCAAATGTCCTGGGCGAGACACCGCTGCTCGCGGCTGCCGGGTCACAGATGGATTTGCAGGGTCAGCAGCTCTAGGAATGCAGCTTTACAAGACGGTTATATAAAGCATCCGTATCATTCGTCAAAGACCGCGCAGTTGCCAGTCGGCGTTTCAGTCACGAGTTGCTCATCTAGTAGTGGTTACGCAACTAGCAGACTAGCAGTCAACGGTACGATAGCCATAGAATGCCAGCGCTTTCAGGACTTCTCATGTAGTTCGCAGAACTGCTGTTGAGGAACGTGTTTTTTGAATGGTTTGCTTTCTGGGCTGCGTGGAATGGGCCGCATTTCTCGAGTGTTGCGACCCCAACGCCCAGAAGTATAAGGAGCACGCTCACACACGATTAATGAAGAACAGCCTCCGAGTTGAAGCCGTTAAAGCGTCTCGGTGGAAGACAACAGAGGCACCATGCTTGGAGGATTGTTGCCAGCACCTTGCTTTCCCAAAGAGATCGGCAAGACTTCAACTACCAACCCCAAATTATAAGGGGCCTCCAAGTTGCCTGCAGCCCTAAAGTCCGACAGCCCCAAATCCAAACATAGCCAAACCAGGTCAGGGCGCAAGCCCGCCCTGAGGTGATTCGGCTACTTCTGGAGGCACAGAAGCGATTCGGGTCATGGCGTTGGTGAGTACAGTGCGGCTCTTCAGAAGTTCGTGTGATATCAACACGGCTGGTGACGGATGGTTCGTGTTGATAACGGTTGTAGCGATCTTGATGGCCATGGCGAACTTCATCTAGATGAGATGAGGGTCAAGATGATGGTTGACTTATCACGGGAGAGTCATGGTAGGTGCAGTATGATGAAACCCGTGATGATAGAAATGGGGATGGTTCTCGATGATCCTGGCGTGCCGGAGCCAAGGTGCTATCGAAACCCGATTTCTTTCCTGTTTCAGCTCCTTCCTGCCATCAGGCACGCGCCGACCCGAACCACCAGGATTTCCATGTCGAACGTGCGAACTGAAAGCGGTTTACAGCTTTAGAGTTTGGGCTTTTGGCTCTGTGGGTGATCACTACAATACCAGATGCGCGAAGGTGTGTAAGGTTCAGTGCATTTCTTCGGGCAACAAGACGGGTCCAGACGTCTTCCACATCCGCTCGCGTGCTCAATTTCGGGTGCTACTTCCGTAGGGCGTTCATTTTGACATACATTGGTTCAGTCTTCTGCTGGTACTCCAGCATTTCAGGTTCACTACGCCTTTCGGAGGGTTTGGGTAATTCGGGTTTACTAGGGTGGGGGGTCTTTCAGAGGACATTGCTGCCAGCTAGCCGCTCTCAGGAAGGACTCCCTGATAGCAGCTAGCAGCAATCTCCGGAAAAGGGTTCCAAAGTAGCAGTCCTTCTTCCACAATAACTTGGATCTCCCATGAATATTGGATCCAGCTGAAATTCTGGGAGGGGAATCCTACTTGCACTAGCCGCGCAATTGTGGCACAGAGAAGCCACGCAGAACTGGACTGGAGTGCGTAGCATTCTACATGAAGCTCCTTCATGATGCTTGCTATGATTGCGTGTTGTTCTGACGTGACATGTCCCAGAAAGCAATGCAGACACTTCGCGCAGAAGGTCCGATACCAAAATGGGAGCCTTCAGTCGCAAGGCTAGGTCCTAGGTATCATTCCTCGGAATTCTTAGGGCTTCACTGCTGAGACTTCACAGTCTACGGAAAGTCTACAGGACGACTTCGCTGGAGAAACGGCACTGATGGAAGCTGTCGCGGGCCCACAGCTGCTGCTTTGGGTTCCCTAGTCTCGGGGATGCTTCCTGGAGTCACAGCCTGCGCAAATTCCTGACGGTCTTTATGTTCGGGCAGGCTATCTCTGAGTTTTCAGTGTGAGCAGTCTCCTGATAACATGGGTTAAGGAAGACTTGACGCATCTGGGCGCGAGCGTGCTTGATGCCCACAAAACAGCAGGCTGTAAGATCCAAATTCGAAGTTGTGGATTAAAGGCTTAAAGTCCGGGCTTGTTGTGATTCAGGGAAGGCAGTCTTTCCGAAGTTCGGAGTAAAAGCTTGCGGGGTTGTGCTTCCGAGCTGCCGCAGGACAAGAGAGCCATTTCCTCCAAGCACTCACCCAATCGGACAATATCGGACAGCAAAGCAGTCAAGACACACACACAAGGCTCAGGTGTTAGAAGACTTTCTCCTGGTCGACTTCCTAATAAGCCCTGATGCAAAAGAAGACAGACGCACATGTCCTGGGATGGTGGCTGGGGCACCAGCTGGGGCAGCAGCTGGGGCGGTGACTGGAAGCGCAAGCGGGATAGCCAGGCAGAGCCCGGCATGACTTCTTCTTCAATAAAGACTTGCCGACTTGCCGCCCTCAGTCCTTGCTGCCACTACACATTGCTACGCGTTGTTAATTTTTGTTAGATATACTTTTGCTGCTGCTGCTGCTACTCTACTACCACTACCATTAACTCTACCACTGCCACTACTAGCACTGCAATTGCCAATGCCACTACGCCCCCCACTCTCGTATTCGTACTACTACTACACTACTACTACTACTACTACTACTACTACTACTACTACTACTACTACTACTACTACTACTACTACTACAACTACTACTGCTACTGCTACTGCTACTGCTACTACTACTACTACTACTACTACTACTACTACTACTACTACTAATACTAATACTAGTTTCTTAATGGTATTAGTTGTGAGAGTGCTGATGTAACTAGAGGCTGCTTTTGCCACTGCATCAACTTGCACTTGCACCTGAGGGTAGGTTGTAGCTGAAGCAACTCCCCGCAGTCAGGGCAGACAGTCCTCACAGTTGCCAGTCAGCAGTCTTTTATGGGTTTTGATTACTGGGTTTTTAGGTTCGTCTGTATGTGCAGAGTGAGGAATGTTGGTCTTGAAAACCGGGATTCGACACGTCACTGCACCTGCTGCGCGGAATCCGAGCGAGTCCGACAAGTGGGAGCCAAAACAACAAAAACTACAACAACAACAACAACAACAACAACAACTACTACTACTACTACTACTACTACTACTACTACTACTACTACTACTATTACTACTACTACGAATACTACTGCGACTACTACTACTACTACTACTACACTGTAACCGCAGGCGACACCGTTGCCTGACAGTCGCTTCAGCTGGACACCTCATGGCCTCAGCACTTGTCACCTGCGTGCTTTCCGACGGGTTTACAACTGATACGTGCCTGGCCAGAGCACTGCGAACGTGGCCCGACACGAAGCCGCCTCTGAATCATGATTTGGAGACCACTTTGGAGACCAATGTCTTTAGCCAAGCTGCGTTGAGTGATGCCTTGGACATAGCGCCCATTGCTGCATGTACTGGCCAAGCTGCCTCCCGACAGAAGTACCCCGTGGGACTATTCCAGTGGATGTCTTTAGCCAAGCTGCGTTGAGTGATGCCTTGGGCATAGCGCTCATTGCCGCATGTACTGGCCAAGCTGCCTCCCGACAGAAGTACCCCGTGGGACTATTCCAGTGGAAGGGCGTATCTGATGCCGCGGTAGAGCCTGGCATGTTTTGTCTTGCGCGCTCATTGCCGAGTGTACTGGCCAAGCTGCCTCCCGACAGAAGTACACCGTGGGACTCTTCCAGTGGATCCACGACGAAGGGGTTGGAAGTGATGGAAGGGCGAGTCTGATGCCTCCTTGCAGCGCTGAGTAGTGCAATGCGGAAGAGCCTGGCATGTTTTGTGTTGCTAGCGTATGCGGTATTTTTGCATTGTGTTCGTTTGCTTGTTCAATGGCAGCCGTATTCTTTTTTCCGAACCATGCCGGGGCCTCCTGCATTGAAACTGCAGATGAAACCTAGGTGTGCTGAAACCCTTGCGGAGAGTGCTGACCTGACCTTGGTCGTGCAAATCCCTTGCCTCTGGGGTCGAAGACAACTGACGTCTTGTCCTCACCAGATCAGCTCACACTTTTGTCCATTCTCCCATTCTTTGGATTATCGTTAGCGGGTTCTCCTGGTTGATGTTTGGAGGAGGAGTGTGAGCTGTAGTAGCCGAAGTGACATGTCGCCTGCAGTGCGGAGTCGCAAGAGTCCGACAAGTGGGAGCCAAAACTACTACTACTACTAATACTAGTTTCTTATTGGTATTAGTTGTGAGAGTGCTGATGTAACTAGAGGCTGCTTCTGCCACTGCATCAACTTGCACTTGCACCTGAGGGTAGGTTGTAGCTGAAGCAACTCCCCGCAGTCAGGGCAGACAGTCCTCACAGTTGCCAGTCAGCAGTCTTTTATGGGTTTTGATTACTGGGTTTTTAGGTTCGTCTGTATGTGCAGAGTGAGGAATGTTGGTCTTGAAAACCGAAGTCGACACGTCACTGCACCTGCAGCGCGGAATCCGAGCGAGTCCGACAAGTGGGAGCCAAAACAACAACAACAACAACAACTACTACTACTACTACTACTACTACTTCTACTACTACTACTACTATTACTACTACTACGAATACTACTGCGACTACTACTACTACTACTACTACTACTCCTGCTACTACTACTGCTGCTGCTGCTACTACTACTACTACTACTACTACTACTACTACTACCGCTACAAGTACCTACTGCTACTGCTGCGACTTCCTTCCCTAGTACTGCTAAGTACTGTTATTAGGCCTTGACGACGACGGTGACGACTACTGAAACACATAGCAACCTCACAGTGCCACTGTTGCCACTGCGACTTCTGCCACAACGACCTTGACTAGAACTGCAACTGGAGCCGCCAGTACTGCTTGTCAAACTACGACCGGCTAGCTTTCCTGCCTCTGACGACGTGCTCCAAAAACTGGGCTTGCCATTTGCCTGTCCATGGTGAGCTCAAGGTAGTCACGCCAGCGACATCGCGCAAGTTTGCCAAAGGGTGGTCTCAAGGAATGATGACAACACGGTGCAATTACGTTGGTCTTGCGGGGAGGACTCGAAATGGAAGAGCGATGAGCGGAAATGCAAACAGTGTCGCAAATGGGCTCCCCGGCATGTGAGCTTATGCTACACAGCCCATAGCCCGACTCAGAGTTGCCTAGTACAGGGTCTTCAGCGGTGGTAATCTGAGCGCGTTGAATGTCCGGCGGTTTGAATCTACGCTCTGAGCAGCTGTTTTTCTGAAAGCCGAGCGTCTGCCGAGCCGAGCCAAAGCATACTTCTTAGAATGTCCGAAACTTCCAGCCGCAGACAGATGGAACCCAGGAGTCTGAGGGAGAATGGTTTGGTCGCACTTTCTACTGCGCCCGCTGCTGTGCCAAAGTCGCAGAGCAGGGCCACAAAGACGACTATCACGAGGCTCGTCTGGTCAAAGCTCAATCAATATTCGCAGTTGTTGCCGTTGTCACAGAAGCACACCACACACACACACATACACACGCACACAGGCGCACACACAGGCGCACGCACACGCACACACACAGACACACACGCACGCACACGCACACGCACACGCACGCACACACACGCAGACACAGACAGACAGACAGACAGACAGAGACAGAGACAGAGACAGAGAGAGAGACAGAGAGAGAGACAGACAGACAGACAGACAGACAGACAGGGCCACACATGCATTGCGTCTCAGCTATCGTTTCTGTCAGAGGATGCCGGGCCGGGCGGCGAGCCCTGGCTGGCGGCCTACAAGGCTTCTGGAGTTGTTTGGCTACCACTCCAGTTGCATGACATTGGCCGACTTCCAGGGCAAGAGCTATGGACCTGAAACGATGCTTGGGCCACTTGGGATTGCTTGGGTGAGGATCCAACTCAGGGGCACTAACGGATGCGGCCAGATGGAAGAGAACCATCGAAACAAAAAGAAAGCCCTTGCCCGATGGGGGTCTTTGAGATAATCGTCACAGGAGAACAGTATCAAATGCCCCCCCCAAACAGTCTGGAGGTTTTCTGGGCGTTTTTCAGGATCGAAATCGGCCCCATGCTTCCTTGAAGCCTCCTGCAACTATTTTGCGCCGTCCTGGCAGCGATCAGGAATTAGAAAGCTCCATGGTATCCTGTAGATGGTCTGAAAGCTTTTGTAGTGTTGGATTTTGGGGTCGATTGTCAGTCATCTGTGCGAGGATCACGAATCTTTGTAATTTGTGCACGTGTGAAGTAGCATGTTGTGTGTACTGCGTTGTGGCACAAGTGCTCTAACAGGAAAAGGTGCGTAGTTACCGCATGGTACAAGCTGCTTGTTATCACTTGGACGGACATATACAACAGTGCGTGTGTGCAGTGGTTTACAACAACTATAGGTTATCAGCCGTATAGCCTACGGCCTGGTCACAACTGGTTGGTTACAATACAATCAATCAGCGCATGAGCGAACCGGAACTTATTCCTGCAAGTATGGATACAGTTACAAGCACCGTGAACCCTTTACAGCCCCCGGTCACGGGTGGCCATACAGGGAGCGGCGCCCCCGGCTTAGTTTTCCCGGCACCAGCCTCAGTCCAACAATTCAACGTCTTCGCACCACAGTATAGTGTTGAAGTACACGTTAACCAGATCAGACTGGAAGTCGGAGAACTAGAGGCTCAGGCAGAAGCAAGACACAGGCAACACATGCTGACCTATCAAGAAGCATCCGCAATTCACACAGCCGACTTGGAGCACAGAGCAGAACGAAACCACCTTGAAGTGGTAGCAGAACTGCAAGCAGCCTTGGCACAGAGCGAGTACAAGGCGGCAAATCGTGAAAGGCTCCTGTTGTCGGAAATGACTTTGAGTCAAGCGCATTCCTATGACGAAGATCAAAGGTTGCGCCAAGAGTTAGCGGAACTTCAAAACAGCCGAGTCACAGACGCATTGGATCAACATTTGGCGGAATCACGCTTTGCACAGAACCTCGAAGAACAGGCGAGACGGCACATCGAGAATTCCCAGGAAGTCATGGTTGAACAGTTCCAAGCACACTTTGAGTTGTTTAGGAACAGGCAGAAAGAAGAGTATGAGGCGTCCCTTGCTGTATGTAGGGAACAGAATGAAGAGCTTCAGGACAAGTTGGATTCTGCGGAAACTGCACTAGAGAAGGTCTTGGATCAGTACAATCCAGCTACTCCAAAGAGTCAGCCAGTACCTGCTCCAAGTACCCCTGCGGGTCCTTCTGTCGTCCCCAAAGCTCCTCAAGCGCCCATGTTCTCAATGCCGAACGTTATCCCCCAAGGCGCCAGATGTCTGTTCGAGTCAATGAATCCAGGAGGTTTGAATGCTCAGTCCATTCCGTCTGCAACAGCATCTTCAATCCCCAAGGCAGGACCTTCCCAGGCAGCGCCAGGAACAGCGGCCCCTCCAGCGGCCGATTCCGGCACGCCAGGGACGGATGCTTTCAACACAGGTCTCCTAGAGACCCAAATGGCAATTCTTCAAAGCCTAAGAAACATAAGGGGTGAGAGCAAAACCGATGCTGACAAACCCAAAGTGAAAGAAGCAGAGTCTATCAGCCTTCCGGAGTTTCCAAGTCCAGAGTCGTATCGTTCGTGGAAAACGGCAGCTAGGGAAGCGGTCAGGGCAGCATCAGATTCACCTGATGAGGCGTTTAAATGGGTGATGAAGGCCTACGACAAAGACGCATCGCAGGAATCCCTTCGAGACCCCGAGAAATTCCTCACCCTTGACACGAAACTTCTTGCTGCACTCACCAAAGTCGCTAGGGGAGAACTCTCCCGAGAAATCCTCATTTTTAAGGAGACAGAAGCGGCGAAATTCAGGGCGGTACGAGGACGACAGGTGCTCTACCTCTTCGATCAGTACTTCAAGACGAACGAGGAGGTTGGATCACTGTACTCCGTGGAGGACCTGCTGAAAGTAAGGTTAATCAATGACGACCTTTCAGTGTTCATTAGCAACTGGGAATCTGTCATGTCTGGGCTCAGCCACACACCGGACGAAACGACCCTAAGAGACATTTTCCTTCGTGAACTCAGGCAGTCCAAGAGACTAAAGTACGATCTTGAGATTTACGACAGGGCAGCAGAGGGCACGGATCAGCACACGTACAAGTTTCTTGTGAAGTCACTTAAGGATCTTTTGACCCGAGAGCGCAAACGCAAGAACCGTGACCGTATCGCAAGATCTCACGGAGATAAGTACGGTGCCCCTGCATCAAAGTCTCCGGGCCGAACTTCCAGCCCCTCTTCAAGAGGAGGCCGTGGCAGATCGCAGAGCCCAAGGCCAAGATCACCCAGCAAAGGTAGATCCCAGTCTCCCAGCAAGCCTAGGACGCCTAGCCCAAAGGGAGTATGCTATGATTACCTCAAAGGAACTTGCAAGCGAGGCAATAACTGCCCTTTCCTTCACAAGAAGAGATCATTGTCCCCCAAAGGCGACAAACCCAAGAAGAAAATCAACGTGACATGTAAGTTCTGGAAAGAAGGCAACTGCAACAAGGGTGATAAATGTCGGTTCCAGCATAAGGACATAGAGAAGCCCTCAGCTCCAGCACCTAAGTCCGAAGCAGCCCCGGCAGCTCCAAAGCCAGGGTCACCCAGGGCCAACTCTCCTGCTCCGCGCAGAGGGAGAAGTCCCAGGGCTAAGTCAAGTGACAAGGCCCCAAAGACGGCCGCATGCGCCATCGCGTTCGAGAATACAGCGGATCTTGAGATCTCGCCAAAGCTCGCTATGGCAGCGTCACATGACGAGGACTACTGGGAGGTAGACTTCACCGGCAACAAAATCATCCGCCACCACAAGAAGTACCGAACAGATTGGTATGTTCCTGACAATTCATGTCCAGTGAACCCCAAGAAGCTTAGGAGCCAAGCTAAACTCGAGCAGGTTTTGCCGGTCTCCCCTTTTGTGGGAAACAAGATCTACAACTGGAGGAAGACCCCAACCAAAGGACCCGGCAGCACATGGGTAGGTAAGACGATCTTCTACATGCAAGAACTCCCTAAGGTGAGTTTTGACAGCACCGTAGAAATGATTGCCATCGAACCGGAAGGAAAGCAGAGAAAGCATGCCTACCTTCCCAGGGTTTATGATGAAGTCTATCCCACTGTCGAGGCATGTCCACGCTCGAATCCTAAGGATCTGAAAAGGGCTCTTGTGTGGGCAAAGCAGTTTGCCACCATGATCGAATGCATGACTCACGACACGCCTGCGGGATGCGGGTATGAATGCATGGAGGAAGGCTTCCTCTGCGAGGAGTGCGAGCGACTTGCACGTCCGTCATGTGCAGGTCTGGTCCCCGGCTTAGAATTCCTAGCGGATACCGGAAGTGAAGAGGACCTCATCAGCAAGTCGGACTGCAGAACTCACTTCCCCGACGTACCTATTGAACCTGCCTCACGTCCTGTTTCTTTGATCACCGCCAACGGGCCGGTAAAAGGTAACGAAGCCGTTAAGCTAGAGGTCCCTGAAATCAACAAAATCCTCGAATGCTACGTGCTAGATTCAACGCCGCCGGTGTGCTCTGTTGGTAGGAGATGCATGGATGAGGGCTTCGATTTCCATTGGTACGCAGGGAAGACGCCTTACTTCGTGACACCTGAAGGCCGGAAACTTTACTGCAAGCTGCGCGGGCGAGTCCCGGTAATTGGGGATGGTACAATCGCCGTTCCCGCCAAGGATGAGAAAGCGGCTCATTCGCCAGTCATCCAGGCAACATCGGGTTTTCCCCGTTCAGCGGCCTAATAAGGCACGCCAATGCAGCAGAATCCGAGCCGGAAGGCGAATCCTCGGGCAGTGGCCTCGACCCCAGGATCGAAAAAGCACTGAAAGAGGCTGCTCCGTTAGGCATAAAGGCGGAGTACTTGAACAAACCAGGTTGGGTTTCGCATCCTTCCTTTCCACAGATGATCGTGGGGCACTTTCCCAAAACCTTTAGAACGCCTGCTACAAGGTTTCCAAAGCACGTCATCCGGAGTACTTGGACTTATGTCAAGAAATGGCAGGAGATCGAAAAAGACGTGGATGTAAGGACGTTGGACAATCGGGTAGCCAAGCTCCCCTCTGATGCCTGCATTCTCAGTGTAACGATCTTTAAAAGACCTGTTGATGACCCCGAGCCGGAGCCTGACAGCGAAAGAGAAGCTGAAGCTGACCCAAAGGACGAAAAACGTTCAGCCCAGCTCAAGCTGCAGGCCAATAGCCCGGAGCACAAATTCACCCACCGTCCTAAGAACCCTTTCTGCAAGGTATGCCAAAAGGCCAAAATGCTAGCGCCACATGCCAGAAAGCGAGGGGGGAGCTCCACTATCTTTTCGAAGAAGTTCGGAGACCACGTGACGATTGATCACATTGTGACCAAGGACTTGCGTGATTTTGGGATCGAAGGTGAGAAAGTTGCTCTTGTGGTTAAGGACGTGTTCACTAACTTTCGTTATGTGTACCCTGCAGGTACGAAGGAGTCGGAAGAGGTTTATGATTGCCTGTTGCACTACTTCGCTGTAGATGATGAACCAGGTATCATTTACTCTGACAATGCCCCCGAACTCAAGAATGCTACTGGAAAATACAAAGTTCGTCACAACACCTCACGACCTTACGTCGATGAAAGCAAGTCTGTTGTTGAGAGAGAGATTCGAACTGTGCTCGAGGGCACACGGGCGAACTTGCTGCAGGCAGGACTTCCAACGAAGCTCTGGCCCTTAGCTGCTCAACATCACACTATGGCTCTAAACTTGTCCAAAAGGATGGACACCGCGA